AAGTTGAACTGAAAGGAGAATTTTGCCAATATTATTTCTTGGTACAAGGCAATGGCTTTGGAGGCTGTAAAGCAACCATGATTCGTTCAGCCAATCAGATTAATGGATTAGCAACTCTTGCTGTAATAAATGGAAAGCTAAAGACAAATGCAGAAGAAACAGACTCAAGTAAGATTTAACTGGTTTTTGAGAGTGTTTGAAGGCAGCTAGTGCTGTTTGATGCATTGTAGGTGCAGGTTTACATTAGTTCAGCTAGAAAAAAAAGGGAAATAGGAAATTCTGCTGGTTTGTTTGTTTTGTTTTTCTTATTTTAGCAATATTCTGATATTTTTTAAAAAATGTGATAGAAAAATTCATAGGAACACATTACTTTAAAGTAATCAAGTTAAAATAGTTATGATTTTTTTTAAAGATACCAACACGAAAATTTCAATCCATTACTCTTGAAAGTGAACATGCAAGGAGCTGGAAGGGTTTTTGTTTGTTTTTTTTTGTTTTTGATTTTTAAAGCTACAGTAAGAATATTTAAATCAGATGTTCCAAGTTGTCATGAAATGGCACCAACCCAAATCTAAAATTTATTTACCTAACCTGGCAGGGTGTGGTTGTGATAACATTTCTATAGGCAAAGAGACGCAATGAATTTTGCAAGAGGGCCTTTAGCTGATATTCACATAGAAAAGGAATTGGAGGGCTGCTGCCACACATGTGCATTCTCTCATCATATACTGACACTACCAGATGCAGGTTATGACTGGCTACCTGCTCCATATTTATACTGGTAGGGTAAAGAAAGTGGGGACACAACTGAAAGTCCTTGCTAATAAATTAGGGAAGTTGTTTGTGTTCTTTTCATACATACAGCCCTGCAATAATGTTAACATTAAAGATGTAACTTTAATCTGTAATGGCAAGGGAATACAAAAATAATGATGAATCTGATATTTCATCTATACCATGCTTATTACTATCACATGTAAGATGGATAAAGAATGTCAAATGCATAGAGACCCTGTCAGTCTTCATGCTTGAAAAGGCTTTTCAGCTTTCCATTTTAATTTGCATTTCATTAATTTCCTTTCTTTTATGAGATTTAACCAGACTTTACATTTGAATTCTGGCTTCTTAATATGAAATGTGTAATTATTAGGGGTGCACCAATAAAGATTTTTTTGGGCCAATACTGATGGCCGATTATTAACCAGTCATATCAGCTGATACTGATCCAATTGCCGATATGCAGCCCAGCAGCTTGGAAAACAGCGTCCAGCTGGTAAGTCTGTGAGGGAGAAGGGACATGGGGGAGGGAAGGGGGGTGGAGGTGGGGGCAGATCAAGGCCCCCATGGTTAGGGGGGCAGGGGCAGGCACTTCACAGCTGGGGTGGAGTGCGGGACAGAGCCATGGCTCATTCGGGGGGGCTCCCACCAATGCGCACGCCCCTGAGGAAGGTATGGGGGACATTTGTCCCCCAGATTTGTGCACAGGGCAGGGGCAGGCTGTCCACTGCATGCTTGGGGCTGGAGGCTGTGCCAGCCTTTTCCTAGTGTGGGGGCTGGACCCAAGCTGCACTTGGGAAGGGTGGGGGCAGGCAGCCACTTTTCCAGTGCTGGGAGGAGAAGCTACATGTGTGGGGCTACAGCCACCCCAAAATTCACTGTAGTTCCTCTTCCAGTGCTGCTGCTGCCACCTGCCCCACCCCGGCCCACCCTGAGCACAGCCTGGGCCCAGTCCCACCACCAGGAAGAGGCTGGCACATCTCTGGCCCTGAGCACACAGTGGGCAGCCTGCCCTCGCCCCATGCACAGATCTGGGGGCTACATGGCCCCCATGCCTCCCCCAGGGGTGTGCACAGAGGCTGAAGTCCCTGCCTCAGCCCCCGCCCCTCTCCCTCCCTTATCATGGGGGCCTCGATTTGCCTCCTCCACGCCCCTTCCCCACACAGACTTACCAGCCAGACGCTGCTCTCCAAGCTACTAGACTGCATTCCTGGCTGTATACGTGCTGCAGCTGCATACATTGATGCAGCATTTATTGGTGACATTATAGACCACATCAGCCAGAAAAGCCGATTGTTGATAATGTCAATTTTCCGTTTAATGGTGCTGATACGATATGGAGTAATTATGCTTATGTACTATTATACCTACTTTTATCTTATACAGATAGTTTCTCTTGAGAAACAAATATCTGGGATAGTAACTATATAAGTTAGATGAGACAACCTAAGAATGACTTTCTTATAATCTCTGCAGGCCTTTGTATTGCGGACTTCATCAGGTCTCTTCCACATCTGTGTGGAGAGCAGATTCTACAGAGAGAAAAGAATCTGGCCTCTGTCCAAGCATGTGCCTTGAAGGAATATCTCAGTAAGTATTGGTGAGAATAATGGATTAAGCTGTCACAGGATCTCAAATTAATATACAATAAGGGCATTTTTATTTGGGATTTAATGTGACAATGTTTGTTTTATAAAAACCAGGGAATCAAGTCATTTTGTAAAGAAGGAAGAGAAATATTAATAGTTTTCACTTAAGAAGCACTAGATATACATCTGTCATGACTCATTCCTATGATACCTTTAAAGAGGTTGTAAAAAATGTCAGTTCTGTAGTACTAGACTGATATCAGCTAAATGGTGCTAGAAGATGCTGTCCCAGCGAACTGCTAGCTGGCCAGAGGAGCATACTAAACTGATCTCTGGTGTGTGTACACCAAGGAAATGATTTTGGCAGTAGCACCTGAAATCAGCACTGGTATAAAGATCGTGGTGGAAATGAGGATCTTGAGTACTGCCCTCTAGTGTATAGAGGAGCTCATTAAAAATCCTAGCATCACTATCCATGGACTCTTCTCTTGCTGTTGTTAATTCACTGCACTGCTTGCAGGACATAATTTGTGAGTTATTCCAGAAATTGGGATGGACGTATGTTCTTCCATTCATTTTGCCTTGTACAAGTGCTTGCAACCTGTTTATCCGGAGACAAGTATAACATCTGGACTTTTGACAGCCAGTTCCATAAGGGGTGGGACTATGTGGTTTGTACTTAATGGAGAGGGTTTTACAGACATTTTCACAGTTTTTATTCCTCACTTTGCCCCGCCCCCCAAATTCTTTGTTTCTAGACAGTGGTTTTTCCTGCAATCAATGGCTTTCAAAATACTTTGTTTAGTTTCATACCTGTCTGTGTTAATGAATAGATTTGCTTGTACATTATGTTAACATACGAGTGCTTGTGAAAGAAAGTAAAGCCAGGAAGTTGTATCCCAAGTTTTTAATAAAGTATAATACTTGCTTATTGTCATAAAGGTAATAAAAAAGACTGCTATGAGTACTGCAACAGTACATAGCATCCTTGTTATGGATGCTTGTCAGGGAGCAGTGTATGGACTCGGGAGGGTGTAGCAAGCCCACATGCCTGCATTTTGGAGCTTATACCTGGGTACATGGTACACTGTGGACAGATTTCTGGAAGGCACTGGCAAAGATGATTCAAATGAAACTTCAGGCTCAGTTGCCGGTAAAGGTGGTTGTATCTGCTGCTGTAAGAAACCAGTAACATGTCTCTAAAGCATACAGAACTGGATTTGGGTCAACTTCTTTCTCTCCTGACCAGGTTCTAATCTTTTCTGAGTACTTAGTGATTATGATAGCACATTTGATCTTTCTCTCTCTCTCTCTCCTCCAGAGAGGCAAGAATCAGCCAAAGAGCTTTCTACCATTTCTATTGATGAGCTCAAAACCCTGTTAATACTCATGAGGGAACAGTTTTTCGAGCTGCATAACACCGCCCTTCCAAAAACTCTTTTACATGAAGAAAAAAGCAAACCTAGCATCCATGCAGTGACTTGTGGTGGGTATCTTTATTTAGAAAATTCACCATGCTTTCAAAAAAACTCTCTAACAAATGAAACTTTTTATGTTTTCATATTTCAGTGATACTAAATTACACCTAAAAGAATTCATTCCAAAAGAGAGAAACTGTGGGAAAGAGATATTTTCCAAGTTTTGTACATTCCTGCATCTGTTGTTCTCTCCATTGGATCATCTATGCTTCCAGTTTTGCTGACAAAAATATGACTTTTATACAATACTATAATTTTGCATCTTCTTGTGATTTTAAGATATTCTTGTCTAGCCTTTCCTGTTTGTAGATAGAAGATTTTTACAGTTCTTACATTATGTTTGATTTTGTTTCACACTTTCATTTGATAGCTTTTGTAGTTTTCTGTCTACATAAGTTACTTTTATAGTATGTTTCCTTTAATTCAGGTGTTTAATTCCACAGAAGTGTATGTGCATATGTCTGGGGTGGCCAATACAGTATTGGAACAGCAAGGCTATTGTGTGGAAGCTCTGTAGCCCCATACCATGTCACAGCTTTAAGAAAAGGCCTTCATAGATTCATGTGTGGTATCTGCTTTTGGCATGCCTAACTTTCCTCTTCAGACAGAGAATTAAACTTGCTAAAAACGAATGATTTAAGGCTGTAAGAGGATGCCAGTCTTCTCCAGGTGCAAGCTTTTCACAGAACTCGGAAGGAAGTAACCAGGAACTCATAACACAAAGATACAATTTCTATTAGTTGGCATGTAACTGAAATGAATGGTTTCATTTTTGATATATGTATTTAATAATGTTGCTAACTAGAAGCGCACTGATACATCGGTCTGATTATTGGATCGACACTGGTATAAAGAAAATTGGCTGTATTGGAAATCGGCCCAAAGTGGCCGATAATTTGACCCATAAATGCCCGTGTGTATGCAGCCACAGCGCAGCATGCAGGCAGCAAGGAGCACAGCCTGGCAGCTTGGAGAGCTGTATGCAACTAGTAAGTCTGTTGTGATGGAAGGGATGTGGGGGGGTAGATCAACGCCCCCTGCGGTGAGGGAGGAAGTGGGGCTGGGGCAGGTGGTGGGGTGTGGGGTGGTTCATATGGGGGGTGGGGCTGGAACCAGGGCTGCTCTGGTCTCTTCTCAGCGGGGGCTGGGCTCGGAGCAGGCAGCAGTGGTGGCACTGGGAGGGGGCTGCAGCCACCCCAAATTTCACTGTATTCCTCCCCAACTCCCCCTCCCATTGCCACCACTGCTAGCCTGGCACCACTGCCACCCCTGACACCACCCACATGCTGGGAAGAGCTGGGGCTGCACTGGGTGGGTGGTGGCGGCGCTGGGAGGTGGGGCTATGGCAAAATTTGGGGTGGTTGCACCCTCTCGTATCCCCTCCCAGCACCGCCACCGTCCGCGCCAAGTCCAGCCCCTGATGGGAAGAGCCCGGAGCAGCACCAGCTCCAGCCTGCAGCTGCAGCCCAATGCCCTGCCCTGCCCCGTGCAGATCTGTGGGGCACATGTCCCCTCTCCCCCATGCCCTCCTGGGGTGTGCGCAGGGGTGGGAGCCACCCCACACTCCCCAGACTAGCCACGGCTCCGTCCTGCACCCTGCCCCACCCGGCTGGGCAGCACCTACCCCAGCCTCCCTCCCTCACTGTGGAGGGCATTGATGTGCCCCCCAACTCCCCTGCCATCCCCCATTTCCTTCCACCATAACAGACTTACCAGCTGGATGCAGCTGTATCAGAAATTGGATCAGTATTGGCCAATATGCCTCCTTAAAAATCGACTATCGGTATTGGCCCCCAAAATCTCTATCAGTGCACTGCTATTGCTAATATAAAATATTTAGTCAATACTTTTTTCCCTGTAGATCTAACAGGTTTTTTCTCCAGCATTGCTCATTACAACACTGTGTCTATATGTGCTGACACCATTAATGATTATGAAAACACTGGTGTCAGGATATTTTATCTTGGGACTCCAGATATGTTACTCTCTACTCTGGCTTCCTTCACTTCTCAACCATTTTGCAGAACCCTGGAGACCTGGTTCATTTCCTCAGTGCTCTCTATTCTATCCCACACACGTCTGGCAATGTGGAATGTACTACTTTGAGTTGCTTGTAAAAAAACAAAAAACAAACAAAAAAATCCCAAAAACAAGATGTAGAGGATGTGGAGATCTACTTAGACCCATGGATTCCATGAAAACTACTATTTATGACTTGCAGAGTTAGAAGAGCCCCAGCCTGCTTCTCTGCCAACCCCAATGACTGGAGATAAATTTCATTTTATACATTAGGCTCAGGGCTGATCTGGTGGCCACCTATAAGCTTATCAGGGGTGCTCATCAGGATCTGGGGGAACAACTGTTCACCAGAGCACCCCAAGGGATGACGAGATCGAACAGTCACAAACTCCACTGTGACCGGTTCAGGCTGGACATAAGAAAGAGCTTCTTCAGTGTCCAAGCCCCCAAGGTTTAGAACAGACTGCCACCGGAGGTGGTTCAAGCATCCACTTTGAACGCCTTCAAAACACATTTGGATGCTTATCTTGCTGGGATCCTATGATCCCTGCTGACTTCCTGTCCCTGGGGCGGGGGGCTAGACTCGATGATCCTCCGGGGTCCCTTCCAGCCCAAATGTCTATGAAATCTATGAAATTACTAATAGCTATAGTTTTGTATTCAGCTAACCATCTTTTTTTCAGAATCTGAGCTAATTGGGTCCAATGCTTTGGAGTGGCCGGAAAGAAGTGTTCTTCAGACTATGGAAAATTTTGAAAAAATTAAACAAAAAATGAGGTAAGTATAAGTATCTTCTAATTAGGAATGATTAAGCATCATTCCAGAGGAGCTATCCACGTTCACAGCCGCCTTGTCAGTTCACAGAAAGTATTTAAGGGTCTTGCAGAGCAAAGAGAAATTCATTTGAGACTAACATGAGTTCCCTTTCTGCTACCATTTTGTAAAGGTATTTTAGAGGCATCTCAAGGTGCTTATATCTGATCATTGTTCTGAAGCCTTTTGAAGGAATATAGTTACAAGGTGTCTCATTCCAGTAGCTGCTGTGGTGTAATTCTTGGGTCTCATCTCCCCTTCAGAAATATGCACATGCCCTTCTACAATGGTGTAGTCAGTGGCATAAGCTGTAGATGTGTATGCAGCACAAGGGTTTTTCCTGTCGTCTCACTACAAATAATCACTATTATTATCTTCATGTTTCTTAAGTAAAATCAGTTTCACAGCACTATTTTCAGAGCAGATGAGAATTGACAGCTTTTTAAAATAAACTAGATTTCAGTTTGTGTTGAAATAGATGTTTTCCCACTTCTATTCCTGTGGAGTCCTGCTTTTGCAGACCTATGGCATTGGGTGCTGAAGACAGTCTTAGAATTTGTTTCACATCAGCCTAACATTTCAGTCTAATGGGTCTCTCTGAATCTCTTTGAAACAAGGTCTGTTGTGGGTATTTGACATTTTCCTGGATAAGCTTACACCAGTCAGCAAAATGAGTTATCAGCCACTTAATAGTCTCCAAATTTCCAAAGTCTCTGGGTAACATGGTAT